TGAAAACATTTTGTTTCCGGATTCTTTCGATCCATCCATCGATGATATATAAATAATTTTCTTTGTTTTATACATACTTTGTACTTAAATTATCAATATATCAAATATAAATAAAATATCGAAAATAAATTAAATAATGTAAATCTAAGCATTAAGAATTAAGTTTGCTCGATAAATTGCGATGGTGTTTCACACAAATATTCAAAATTATTATATATACAATATATTCAACCTAATCAATTCCGCAAACGAAATATGCGTATCACGTGTGTCGTATTAATCATATATTTTATTCGAAATATCCCAGACAAATTAGCTATATATATATATATATTTCGTTATCGAGCGTTTCGATAGCCCACTCTCATTCTGGATAATGACGCTACGTCATACACAAAATTCTAGACAACGCTTCATCCGCGCGTTTTCGCGCGTCATCGCATCAATCGGGATTGCCATCACGACTCGAGCATACAATGCACAGCTGAAGAAAAAAACGTTGACAGCTCCATTTGTGCGGCATTCAGATATATCTCGCCTCGATCACGCCCATTATCATCGCGCTCGTCATCGCGCCTCGAAGAAGACCCTTGATTGACCTTCGACAGGGTGCATTCCTATCGCGATGCAATGTATACGTACGTAGTTCAGTCTGGTCACGTTGCGAAACGAATGCGAGGCCGTTATATGTACCGTGCACGCATTCGCGAGGCCACCTGTTACCCGGCCAATCTCACCTCGGGCTCTGTCGCACGAGCCCGTAAAGTGGCCGGCAGGCAGATTGCGAGAGACGTCAGATGGAAATGATTAATAAGAATCGGCTCATCTATTATACGCCACGTGTGCAATCTTTCTCCGGAATGCCGCCTCAATTGAATCGCGGTCGTAAAACCGCGCAAGCTTTCACAACCCGGCCACATGTTTCGTCTATGATTATTCCGGACGGATCGATCATAGATTTAACGTTGCGCTTTGCTTAGGGAAGATTAAAGATATTGATAATCGAATTTTGCGTGTAGGCAAAATAGAATTTCAATAGTGCGCGCAAGATAAATATTTAGTAGAATTTTTCTCCATATGTAAGTTCGAGATTAATTTATATATGGATCTTAGTAATCTCAAACCAAGAGATACAAAAATTAATTTTTCGCGCTTGGGTTCTATTGGCCGATTTAAAAAAATATCATGTATTATTATTTATTATAAATATTTAGTATAAAAACACATGTAAAAAACCGAAGATGAAATATATTCCGAAGGAAATATGTAAAAGAGGAATTATCATGAATAATATAAACTGCTGGGCTTAATATCCAGTCAAGTTTGCGGCGAGAGAATCCGATTAAAGATCTTAGACAAATAAAAAAAAAAAACAATAATATAAGACGAATGAGGATAAAGTAGAAATATTCAAGACGCTTCTTCGGACGGTTTCGTCAGGAATTTTTATAGGAAAGAAACAGGCGCGTGGAGAGATCAAGCAACGCAATCCTCATCGCGTACATGAATAAATCCCAGCGAGCATATTGAGCAGTCATATTTCATGGCGAGCAAAAAATACGAATGTCCCTCGGAAATCTGACGTCTCAATCCGTCTCTGGGATCTCGTCGATATTCCGAGCGGTCAATTAAGGCATGCCTCCCAGATGTCCCTGTCTGGTCCTTACACATACGACGTCGAGACGACGATAAGTCGTACGAAGAAACGGTATTACGTCGCGGTATCTCGCTTGATGGACGACGTTCTCTCATGCTCATGCCCCGATAATCTCTCTTCCTGCTCCGCCATCTTGTTACTTACTCCTTACTTACCCGCCGGACACGCTGGAAGGTACAAAATCTGCCAAAGGATCCAGCGAAGGTGGAGAAACTTGGCAGGAGCAATGACAGAGAAAGCGGGATTCTTTAAAACCACCCAAGGAGAAACATTTCGTGACAATTAATATCGTCAACCGAGGAAATGAATATCGATGCCGGAATACGGGGAATATATTGTATAGGAATTCCTCGAGATTCTTGAAGATTAGGTTACCACGCAAGCATGAGCGAAGTAGAACGCTGTTGAACCAGAAAGCAGCGGTTTCGTTGCCAGAGGATATAATGAATAAAATTTCTTGCCGCTCGTCGATTATTCTTCAAGCCGGGGATATAAATAAAGGGCTTGGGGCGATAACAGGCTAAGATGTATGAGCGAGAGTCTCGTCACTCTCTTGGCGTATGTTCATTTACAGATTCGATTACGGTGCCAATCAAAAAATTTTTTGTTCTCTTTAAAAAAAAAAAAAATTGTTCTCTTTAGAAATATTAAACGATGACTTCAAGAGCCGCGAGAAATACTGAATCTCATTGACGATTATATCTTTCGTCAGTTATATCAAAATAGGAGAGACTTGTGAAATACTTTGTTAAATTTGTTCTTCTGGGATAAATTGAACAAAATGGTGTTAAAAAAAATAATAAACATATATATGCGTATGATAATCGCAAAATGTTGGAAGATACAAGTCACACTGAATAATTATCGCGAGCAAAAATCGACAAGTTATATATAATAATAAATGTCAGAAGAGTCCTCTTTCTCCGAAAGTCGGCACACGATCAAAGCCGAGGCGCGTCGAAAGACGAATCTCGAAGTCGCTGTATAAGAAGACGATTTTTTAAAAGAGTTCGATTTTTAATAGGCGTCCAAGAGATCCCTCCGTCGTTTCTTTTCTCGCGTAAATAATATATCCTCGCGCTTTTAAGCGGAGGGATTATCGAGGCTGCACTCGCTTCTTAATAGATGCTTTATTCCGGAACGCGATACATCTTAAAAGCCGAGAACGATAAAGACGACCGATTAATTTACTGCGGTTCCATAATCCTTCCAAGGTAAATCCTCCTATCTTCTTCTCTTTCTCGTCCCCTCTTGAATCGTCGTCCATCTCTCTTCGCTTTTTTTCCTATCTTTTTCTTCGAACGACAAAATAGAAACTGTAGAGCACAGTGTGACAGAGGTTGCTTCTGCCTAATGGGTAGAAAGAGATCGACTCAGAGCTTATCATTTTAATGGAAACTTTTATGGAGGCCACTTTAGGTGTATCTCTTCGTGTCTACAACGAATTCTGGGTGGCTGTTCGCACGCTGGATAAGCTGCATTTTCGACTATATAATGTGTGCACAGTCTTCACGCTCTGATTATTATGTTGACAGAAACATTTTGGCAATATCTATTCGCTGATCATGCCAATCTGTTGTGGAACCGTTTTATTTAAATGGGTTCTTAAAAGCTGTCCAGTCGTGCAATTTTCGACAAACATGCTCCAACTTTTGTTCTCACAACTTATTAAAATATTTAAATGAAGTTTAAACTGATAATAGCGTTATACGAAGAAGTATTTAATTTTATCTCTGCGCTGAATATATATATACATATATTTTGATAAAATAAGAAGTGATACTTCCTAATAGATCGATAAATCTGTCAGAATCCATATCTATCAAAAGACATTTTCGAGGTGGATAATGATCGATTCCAGACACCTGCATTTTAATAAAATACATAATAAATCAGAAAAAAGTTGAACTTGTATCATTCTGCTCTCTACTATTTTGCCCGACAAAGAAAATCCTGTGTCTGGAATAAACACCTGCCACTGTTTGTGATTAACAGAGCAGCCGTTTATTACGTACATATGAACGAAAGTTGAATACAGAAGAAATTATGAAAAAAATTATATTTTAATTTTAAATTATGTTGTCTATAAATTTCAATTTACATAAATTTTAATCAAAGAATTTAAAAGATATGTCTTATATTATCGTGATGTTAACTTTATTGTTTTACAACTTATCTCTACATATTGACAATTGATATTAAAAAAATACTTGTTTATACGTAGAAAACTTGTTATAATTAAGATACGATTATTGACGTACAAATACAATCTCAGTCGATTCCTGTTCAAAGAATTTTCAAAATTTAATTTTAATTTAATTTAATTTTAATTTAAATTAAAAATCTTTTTCATTTCTTATGCTACTTGATGAGGTTTATCCAGAGTATCATTAGCGGATTTGCGGCTTCCGCAAAAGCGCGTGCGGTTTATTTGAACCGCAATGTCATGGCGGTTGAGCGCGATAATAAACGAACGGCCATTGTCTCTTTCGCGACGTGTCATCAACACCGATATAAACACCTCGTATCTGGGTCAGCTCTTGTGGATCACGTGGCAGAGCGTACTCCATATTCTTAATCATATATGTAGGAATATTACTCTAAGATGCATCTACATACGACGCGATACTAGATACTTTCAGCTGGAGACGAAAGGCAAGAGATGAGATTTTAAGTGGCGTGCGCTCTTTCTTCCTTCTCTACCTTTCCTCTGTCAGATAGAAAACGAACGGTACTTTCCAAAGGTACTTTGAGTAAAAGGGACTTCTCGGCTAAACGACACCCACGCCGAGCCAGCGCACAGCTTCGCTTTCTACTTTTCCAGACGACCTCGATGATCTACGATCGAGATCTCTCTGCTGAGAGAAGAATTTTACGGAGAATTTTACGCTATAATAGTTAAAAAAAATATGCGCCCATAAATTTATACTTCCTCCAACAAACCATTCACCGATGCTCGCAAGATGTATTCTTTCATTATTGACATCTTCAGTGAAACTTTGTGAACATTTATTAATACTAATAAAATATATTAATATTAATATTATATAATATTAATATATAATTATTATTTTAATATATAATATATAATTAATATATAATTATTATTATATTAATATTAATATTATATATATTAATATATAATTATTATTTTAATATATAATATATAATTAATATATAATTATTATTATTAATATTATATATATATATTAATATTATTAATATAATATAAATATATATAATAATATAATATAAATATAAAATTATTTATATAAATACCTATATTAATATTAATGTTAAAAATAACATTTTTAAAATACGACAGTTTTGCGGTAAAACTCACTTTTCCCTTTGACGAATTCGGAATTGAGATCCGCTGACACATCGTAGCTACCGGCGACGATCAGTAAGAGGAATGTTACGCCGAGGAGGTTGCAGGTCGACAGCCCGTGTCGGTGGTTGAACATGATGAGCTTTCATGCCCTTCGCGAACCCGTAGGCCTTGCCAAGATGACCCGAGTGAGGATTCTCTCTTTCGCTTCGCAGGCTCGTCGATTATTATCACAACGAACGAGGAGAAAACCGGAGGAACTTCGAAGAAACTTCGTTCCCGCTGCTGCCATCGCTCTCCCTTCTTCACCGTGCATGTCGCATGTCCGACACTAAAGTTGTTGCAATTGTCTGAAACGAAAGAAAAAATAATCAGTGAAAAAAGAGCGATATTTATAGTGCATCGAGTAACTAAAATAATAATAAAACGCGAACGCCGTTGTCCAATTTTTTTTTTTATTATATTTGTCATTCTTATTGTTAGTTTCTCTTTTTATACTAAAAAGAGAACTAATCTCCTCTATGCATTTTATTCATTTTTCCTTGCTATACGATAATTGCATCCTTGAATTTTATTGAGATAAGATGTTGCATATTTTACTGAAGGGACTACAGTTTAGAGAGGCTGGCGTAACAAAGATTTGAACAGTCACATTTGGAATTAAAATCCCGCGATGGAAATACGATTATACTTTTTTTATGCGAATGCTAAGCGAGATGAGAGACGCAGGAGACAATCAGCATAAATCATCCCGCGTTGAAATCCCTGTTATTTTCATTAGGACTCTTGGAAATTGTGTTTCACGAAAGAATTACGTGTGTAAATCAATAACTATCAGCCACTAGGATGAATTACGCCGATTGGTGTGTTTGTAGGTACCACGTGTTCTTAAACTATCATGGTAAAGATATTCATTATACACGCCTGAATTATGCTATGCATGTATCTTCCATCGTATCACATGGCATTACGTGTTATATGTTACGCTGTAATGAACAGCGCAAATATATTCGCATCTCAAAACAAACTAACTTCAAGTGAGTTTGCTTTATATGTATATCACAATTAATTAATTAAATATCATATATATTATAATATATATTAATCTTCAATTAATAAATTTAAACACAAGATTTTTTCACAAAATAAATTTATTAAATTTATATTTATTTTGCGCAACAAGCAAAGAATTGAAAATATATTTGTCGTAATAATTAAATATTTAATTTCATGTTTTTATCATCGTCGTTCGATTCTTATTAATTTAATCGATAACAGGACCGGCAAATGGATTTTATATCGGTCTCGATGTATCTCGAAAAAAAAGCGTGTAATCATGAAACATCGCAAAAAAACATCACTTGCCTTTTGGACAGGCAGTTGTGTCATCGCCTCGTTTAAGGACTACTTTCAACGAGTTTCTATGTATTGCTGGAAGACGGTAAAGAAGAAGAAATGAAAAAGAAAAAAAAACCAAGAGGGCGAATGTAGAAAGGGCGAACATCGAAAAAAAAGAGGAAGACAATACAGCTAACAGCAGGTGTCTGCTCGTCTGTTCGTCCCATCCTTCTTCTCGCAGTTCTCTGCCTCCACTCGCGATTTCATCCGGGGAGAGACACGCACCATCCCGGAGCACTCGCTCGGGTTTCCTCTTTGTTTTTTCGCACTCCCTGCGAAGTGGATGAACACGAGTTGCCTTATTCGGGCGCGACATGCCGAGGATCAACTTAAACAAATCACGTCGGCCGAACTCGCGCGCGGCGCCACTCTAATTACGGATGTCTCGTTAGGGTTGCTTTTTCAAATTAATTACGATCCTTATTAATTACAATCGATACTCGATCGTGTCGCCCTAAGTGATTGTCCTAAGTACGATTTACTCCGGTATATCACGCTGTCTGCCGACAAGAGAGACGTGGAAGACATTTTTGAGAAGAAGACCTCGTGTAACAACGATTGAATAACGCATTGCATTCGCATATCCTCGCAAATCGATGGCAATTTGCAGGAAAATGATGGAAATCATCTAACATATCAATTCGTGTTACAATTGAATATTGAAAAATTTTGCGGTATTTTTATAAATTATTCAATAGGAAGTTTAATATATCTAGATATACCTTATATAGCTAATGGATTCAACGGCTTCCAGATATCTCTTCACTGTATGTAGAATAATGAACATATCCCTGATGCTATATTACATCTGTGCAAATCAACGATAAGTGTTTGCATAGCGCTGGCGACTTCGTCAGAAATGCGAAGACACGACACGAATTACGAGCCTGCGAACCGGTTCCAGGCATACCGTTCGAATGGTGGAATTAACCCGAACTCAAAAGACTGGGGCGCCGTCGACACTTCGCTTAATTGCATGGACGGGACTTGTGCAAATTTTTATCGTTCGTTCGCGGGACTTAAATCCTCTTTTTATAGCTGTCTCTAATCGTCGTGATGTAAAAAAAAAAAAAAACGCCAGTATGAAATACGTCTTAAATCATCTCGTTGTTCGTTCTGCGTTATTATAGGAGTCTGGTACAAAGTGCGAAAAAGCATGTAAGCGTAAATTTAATACGCACACTTGACATCCTTAAAATAAAAATTTAACATTTAATAAGTCTACCGAAATAGTATATTGTGTATCAAGTGCGGAAAGTTGACAATTGATCACGAGTGAACAATTGTCAATTCGCACGTGATACACATACTATTTTGTATTACAAGTGCAGGTAAAGTAGCTTTGGGCGCGTTTTCTGTGCGCAAGGTGGCCGATCGCACGCCGCCATCTTGCGGCGGCACGGTGCGGGAATAGCCGTGTTCAAAGTCATTGTCCACGGCTAAAGCCGTGGGAAATCGGCCGCTTTTCGCACAGAAAACACGCACACAAAGTACCACTTTGCCTGCACGTGTAATACAAAATACATTGTAGTTTCCATAACCATTGTTGAGATATGAAAGATTGCTCAATGTATAGCATTACTAAGAAAATTAATTATTTACTTGCTTTTTATTACATAATAAATGAGAAAAAGAATTTCAGAAAGATGGCGAGAAAAAATAATGACGGTGGATATTTTCTTGACGTCGAATAAAAATCTGTCAAAGAATGTCACAATACGAATTTTTATAGATTAATAAAATCATGATAAAATCAATTAATATTTTTGTACCGCAGTGACAAAGAAGTACTTCTTTTTCAACTTGACTCGCGACCCTTCAGTACTGAAATTTCACCGTGATTAAGAAAGCTACGAGATCTAATAATTTACACTCACGATAAGAAACAAAGCGGTATCGGCTCAAGTTACAACCGGTTGCAATGCTATAACGTTATAAATAATATTCCTACGCGATTCTCATCGCGATGATTCTACGCATCATCTGTCAGACTCCGGCCAAAGACTTGGTCCATTTCTATAATTATTTCTATTATTCAATAATAATTTTACATTCGCATTTTCAATATAATCCACATGTAGGAATAACGCGATATTATCAAGGGTTAAAAACAAAGAAGTCGAAAAAAATTCACGACGAAGGAAGGAAGTCTATTGATCAACAAGAAATCTGGAATGTCGCAGACCCGGAGAGAGAATCCTTCGAACGCAGAGCATCATGGATGGCAAAAGGACTCCGAGAGACAATAAGAATAAGAAGCTTTGCCATGCGACATCGATCGTATATATCGTCGCGAGTACCCACGTTCTTCGTCCTTCGTCTTTCGGGCCCCCGTGTTTCTCCTTTCTCCTCCTGGTTCCCTCACATGGTCGGACTCGGGCACAAAAGCGGCGTCCTTTGAGGGAGGGTCCAAAACGAAAAAAAAAAAGAGTGCCGACGAACACGGCGTGCAACCGTGTTAACTGCGCTGCTTATGCATTCATATATCCTTGTTTCGCGACAACCTGCTGATTGTTTCCACAAAACGCGACAACCCCCTTGTAAGACCGTCCGGGGCCGGTTTTTCGGCAGTTGCGAGGGAGACCCGGCCGTAGACGCCGCGCAAAAAGGATCAATTTGTATGCGGGTGAACGCTCTCCCTTTTCTACAGTCGCCATTCTTAACAACGCTGACTGTGTAACGTCTGTACGACAATGGTGACGGCGAGATATAAGGGCGCTCGAGAAAATGCGCGTGTGCACCGGAAGACAAGCAATTGAAGTGCTTGAGGCAACAATGTTCTAAACCGCAGGGAAATAGGGAGGAGAGCCGAATGAGGTTCCCGAGATATTGCGTTTGGTTTTTAAACCCTGACGATGTTCTTCTATTCAAAAGCGTTCGCATTTTTCGGAGGGTGAAACAATTGTGAAAACGAAGCGCGCAGTAAAATATATTATTATGGTTTATTAATTATTTTGAAATAATATGATTTAAATTATAATAAAATTTTAAATAATATATTTCGAAATAATTTGACGGATAAAAATATCTGTAATGTAAATTTAAAAAGTTTTTTTTTTGTTTAATAACACATAGTATTAATAATTTGAAATTGACGTAGAAATAATAATTATTAAGGAAGGTATTAATTACGAAAAAAATTCTTGCAGAAAAAATAAATATATCATTTTCGTTGACAGTTCTCTGGTCATGATTAGCAGTTTATTTGTATATGATATCTTCTGCAATATAATGTACTCAATTTATCATCGTCAATAATACAAGGCATAAATAATGCTTATTTACTCAAGCAGCAAGGAAAGGCGAGACGCGTAAAACTGAAATGAAATACAAGCTTGTTATCTTTTGTATTATATGAATTCCATGAGTGTGTATGTGACCCTTCCTGATCTTCCCTCACTCTCAAAAGTCTGAGTTTTCTCAAGGTGTGCACATGTCGCGATGCCTCGTTATCGGCGTATAAAACTCTGATTAAAATATGATAAGAAGAGGTTACATTCCTTTCAAAGCCCGTGATGTGGAGAAATGCGAAGGATATCTGTAGGATAATATTGTACATGTAGGAGAAATGTATGCAATATCATCAGAATGTCTCACTTGAGCATAAAGAGTCAGATACATAAATATCTTTGAACTTAAATGTTAAAAAATACATATACATTTAAGAATAAATTAATACAATTGTCGCTCGTATATTGAAAACAAAGTGATAAATATAAGGCCAACTTATCGAGCTGAATATTCGAGATGTTCAGTCAACTACCATTTATTACATGTATAAATTATAAAACTACAGTCATTATATTAAAACTAACGCAAATTACAATCATTCTATAAACGTTTCGACCGCACGCGGTCTTCTTCAGTATAATTATTGAAATATAAATTCTTACAATTCACATAATATCGAAATTTAATTATAGTTATTCAGAATCAAGAGTTTTTGAGTAAT